TTGTCATCAATTTACATTACACATTTTTGAAACGGGAAAACCACTCAAACACTTGAGTTTTCCCCATAGCATCATCCTTGTACGCCATTTTTAACATTTCAAGAGTTTCTGTTCCACTTTCCCCGAGCAAAAAGAATTTCACCGCCGCACGCTGTTCACGAAAACAGCCATTGCAAAAACGACGATCACACAAAACAGTTGTCACTATAAACTCTGCCGAAACTAGTCCTTGCCTTCTGAAGCAACGGTAGTCGGCTTATCGACTCAGGAATGTTAGCTCTATGCGCTCATAGCGGCAAAACACGGTACTACAAAAGCTTTGCCCACAAAAAAATTAGTTCGGTTTATTTTGGGTACCCTATCATATGTTCCACCTGCTCTTTACCCCCAGGAAGATTCCTGGTACTCATTACTGTTAGAGGCTGTCTACCCTAGGGCCATAATGTGGCTGGAAGGATGAGGTCAGTTGAAAATCCAATGACCTGATCAGGATGAAACCTGTGACATTCCAGCTCATAGCATAGTGCCTCAACCAGCTACACTACTGCATGCCGCAAACATCATATCCTTTCTTACAGAACTCTTGAAGCTGTTTCTAATTCCCCACTAAGGGGTTGAATTGAAGATGACTGTAGGAAGTATGGAAACTAATGCACTGTACTGTAAGTCCAAGGTTGGGTAGGCTGGTGAGGGCATTTCTTCTCATCTGAACTGAAGGCTTCATTTTGATGGTTCCCAGCATGTTGTAGGTTAATAGGATAGTAACTCTATTGTTCGCCTTTTACCTTGAAGAAGTAAAGTGTTTCAAAGCCCTCAATGTTCTGGGGTGGTTGTGTAGCATAGTGCCATTTCACCCATATTAAAGATTTCCCCTGAACTACAAGTGTTACATCTCAGAAGATAGAACTGTTTATAGTGCATTTTGATTGTTTGAATCTGTTTCCTGAAATGTGAGTCATGTAATGGCTAATTCCAGTATCCAGTGACCACACTGGGTTGCACCTGCTGTACAGGTAGAACATACTTAGCAGAATCATTCTCTTAAAAACTTGAATGTGTGGCAGAAAGTGCTCCTGTAGTATTAATCATATGTAGAAGTCATTTGGTGATGATAATACATTCTATCTATTTTAAGAGCATTAAATCAACTACAGAAGTTACATAATGTAGCATGACAATGTGAGACAGCTGTTAAGGACAAGTTGAGAAGAATTACTCATTTTCTGTATTAATGTGCAGAGCTATTGTAAATGAACTGAACATTTAAAAAAATTACCTGTGTTTTTGACAAGATATCATTAAAAGTGTTGAACTCTTTGCAGTAATCCTGTACTATACAGGCATGTCTGTAGTTGAGATCCCAAACTTGTGTCAGAAAAAATTTTTCAGTAGTTACCTGTGGTGACTGCACACTCTTAACACTTTGCGGACCGGTGATTTAAATATTTAAATCACCCTGGGGACCGGCATTTTTAAACATACTACCCTAACTTGTGCACTTTTCATAAAAATTAATATCAAATCTCCTAATTAATTTTTTGAACTAAAATTTTTGGAGAACGCTTACCAATGCTGCTAGAAATGCTTGAGGGTGTGATATTTCTGGAAACTTTCCCCTGTGTGAAGTGGCATTACACAGAACTTGCAAATGTAGACATACTCCTTTTTTTGTGAACTGTGCAAACATGGCATTGCCTAGAAGTATTCTTCCCCTTGGAATGTTCACTCTTCACAATTTTCACGAGGGTATTTTTCCGCATATCACTCAAGAGTTGTCCTGGGGGGTCCACATGAGGCCTTCGTGGGGTGGGAGTTGATGGGCCCGGTCATACTAAGTCTTTGTGTGACCCTGGTTCTGCCGCCACCATCTGGACTGTAGCCCAGGCCTTTGCCACATTCATCAGAAATGCTTTGTATTTCAATTTTGAATCAGGGTTTAGATTTCTTTTAGATTTTTTGCTGTCCCCACAATGTTACTACGCACAGTGTTATTACCCGCATTATCGTCGGAGCTACCGTCACTTACTGTCTGTGGCCACAATTCTTTGTTGTCCCCCGTTACTGATACTGTCTGAATGACAGTCCATTACTACACGTCTCACAAGGCAGGTCAGCTAGGTCATCAGAGGAGAATTTGTCCTTGATCCATTCTCCCCGCTAGCTACTGGCTGATACACACAGCTTGAAGAAGGCAAAGCATTTTCCTTTATAGTCGGTTAAGTAAACAGCGAGGTCAAGTTACTGACTGCTAACTAAACATTCCAGAGTCTTATCACGCATCTGCAGGCGGTTGTGTGCAATATAGGTGGTGCCAGAGTGATGTACGAGTATAGTGTGTTGCAACTTATCGTGTTCTAAAAGCCTGTTAACACACAAACAGTCCGCCATGCTTAAAAGCGAAAAACCTTTTAAAGGGTGCGTGGTCCACAAAGTGTTAAGGCATGAACTATCTTTTTCTGGTTGAACACTGGAGTGACGGGTTCGAATTGCATCAAGGCATGGATGTCTATGTGCATTTATTCTGTGTCTAGGTGTCAGCCTTCCGACAGACTGATCTCCCATCCAAGGAGGCCTACCTACTATTTATAGGATTACAAAACTGAAAAGCATCCAGGGCCCCAACAAAGGGCTGTAGAATCATTGATGAAGGAATGAGTTGCATGTGGTGCATCTACATACAGCTTCTCAGCATATAACTCAAGTATGGTGTGTTACAGCGTGTCTCAGTCCACACTTGGCAAAGTTTTACACCCTGCAAAGTGATTCTAGCAATATAAGTAGGAGTATTAACAGTGTGAAGTGAGAAAAGAATAAACAATAATTAATTAAGAAGGCATGTACATATAATTATTGGAGTCCATGTCCTTATCTTTGGTAATCTCAGGAACATGGCCTTGTGAATACATAGATGTTCCTATACTGGCATTATTTGAAGTATGAGTAGACGTAATCAGATTATGATTGGTGATATTCAACAGTGCTTAGTAGTTTTTTGGTAATAGATGAATGACTGGATTGATGGACAGAGACAGTCCAGATGAGATAGTGACAAAGCCTAAGCACGAGCACAGTCACCTTCTTAGTGTTGTGACTGTGGGAAGGAAAGATGTGCTAGCACACATACTTAATGATGATCTGTATTTTGAAATTTTGTCCGCAGTGACTCTACTTGCTGTCATTTTATATCTGTGACTGTACTTGCTGTCATTTTATATCTGTGAAAGCAGGCTTCTCAATGACAAAATATTCTGTGACAGCAGCTGAAATTTGAGGTTTCCCTGGTCACATTTTAGGGCCTCCAGATAGTGCAGTTTATTTGTGTAAATTTGTTTTAACACATTGCAGACCGGTTGTTGAAATATTTAAATCACCCTGGGGACCGGTGTTTTTAAGCCTAGCACCCTAACTTATGCGCTGTTCACTTTAAAAATTAATATAAAATCTCCTAATTAATTTTATGAACTAAAATTTTTGGAGAACACTTACCAGAGCTCCTAGAAGTGCTTGCACATGTGATATCTCTGGAAACATTCCCCTTTGTGAAGAGGCATCACACAGAAGTTGCAGATGTACACAGTCCTACTCTTCTTCTTGTGGACTGCGCACATACGGCACTGCCTAGGAGGGTACTTCTTGCAATGTTCACTCTTCACAATTCTCACGAGGGTGTGTTTCCACATGTCACCCGAGAGTCGTCCAGGGGGGTCCACATGAGGCCTCCGGCAGGTGCAAACAGATGGCCCCGGCTGCACTATGTCTGTGTCTGACGCAGGTACTGCCGCCACCGTGAGGTCAGTAGCCCAAGCTTTTGTCAAGTTCAACAGAAATGCTTTGTATTTCAAAGTAGAATTTCTGTTCACCTTTTTGAAAACCG